TAAATAAAGCTGAAGTTGTGACTCAAAGGATTATAGACCCAAATTTGAGAAAAGGAGAGAAAGGCCAAAAGATAAAAAGTAGTGAGGAAGGTTGGAAAATTAAGGGTCAATATTGGCATAACAGAAGATCTACTTAACTTTTCTCACTACTTTTTATCTTTTGGCCTTTCTCTCCTTTTCTCAAATTTGGGTCTATAATCCTTTGAGTCACAACTCCAGCATTATTTATCAATAGTAATCCTTCCTCATTCACTCATCTCCAAATATTTGAAAATATTTCCTTTTCACTCAAAAATAAAATATGTATAAAAGTTTACGGCTTTGTGAAACTTCTTTTTTGAGTTTATGCCGTTGAAATAAATAAATAAATAAAATAAAACAATCTGTCGGTTTAGTTTACACGTTTATTGGGCAGCACTGGAACTTGTCTTGGGCCGCGGGTTGGACACCCCTGATCTAGAGCACTTTGTGAAGCATATCCATCAAGATAGGCTAAAATATTTTTGTCTACGTAAGAAAAATTTTATAAGTTTGTTTCTACTAGTTTAAAATCATTGAAATGTTCATCATATTCTTTGAAATTCTTCTTTTTTGGAACTTCATCTTTACTATCAGAAAGACCAGTAATTAAATTTCGAATAAATTCATAATGATCTGCTCCACAGTTAGGTAATTTATTTTGAATGCATATATTTAGAAATTCCAGGCATAAAGTACTTTGTAATTCGCGTGCTGTTGGATTTTCTCCATTACCTCTTAAGCCTGCATGAAGAAATTATCCCACAAGATATAATATTCAATAAATTAATCTTAATACTTTTACTACACAATATAAATTTCAATACCAAAAAATAAAAATTTGTAACTAAACAAAGGTAAGATTTGTTAGAATAAATGTTTATATTAATACAATCATCAAATTAGATATTTAAAAAGAATTCATTGAAATATAATTATGGCTTAATAGGCCTATATTTCATATGTAAATTACACTATAATTTTTTGAAGATATATATATAATTGCTACTTAGTATGTTAACCACTTGTATAGTAATAAATTATTGAATAGCTAACAGCATTTACCTGTAATGCGACTAAAGAAATTTTTCATAAAGTCTTGATTTCATCTTCAGGTCAAGAGAAACCTAAATTCACTATTCTTTAAATCCTCAAACAGCATCAGCATTGCATTTAATGTTAGAACCTGATCCATATAAAACTTTATACAGAAAATTTTTTCATTCTGGTCTATATTGTTTCTATATTGAAATTTCATTAATAAATTATTTCCATAATGTAATATGTGGAGAAGAATCTTGCCATACACAATGAAAAGGTTTTCCATGCATTTGGTTTTCACAACAGCAGAATGACTAATTTTCATTGAAGATAATCCTGTGGCATAAATGTGCTTATGGGATAATTTTGGTGCAGAATGGCTGTGTTCCTTTTTGTTTAAATTATAAAAATCTTCACCATGTTGAAAAGATATTATTTCATCTGATGTTTAAAACAGAAGTATTCCCAAAAAAAAACAATACTAAAAGATAATAAAAAAAATCACACATGTTTTCTTTGTTATATACTGTATACATAATTTCTGTATTTTTACATAATATGCTTATGACACTATTTTGTAATTATTTGAAATCTTATGGTCTGCAAGATATAATATATCTTACATATATTAGTTATTATTATATTATTATATTAGATATAATATAATATATTATATCTAATATAAGATGTAATATGTAATATCCAATGTAAGATATATGTGAGATTTTGAATACTCCCACTTAATTAATTGAAAATTTATATCAAATCAATAACTTTTAGAAATAATATTTCTGATTTTGATGAAAAAAATTTAATTTCAAAAATGAAGGAAACTGGTAAAACATGTTTCCTTTTCAACGGAAGTTCCACACCCTTTCGTTTTTCCCTTATCTTCAAAGATTTGAGTCACCTAACAAACAGTCACCCCTCTATAAATCCCCACTCATCCTGCTCACGTGGGAAAAATACAATGTTCCCATTGGAGGAAAACCTCAAAAAAGGGGATTCTTTGGTATTGTTAGGGGAGTACTCCCAAACTTCTCAATGTAAGAAGATATATTCCATACCATCTCCCTACAGCCAACACCCATAGCCAGGAGTGTGCCTAAATCTCCATAGTACAGAAGACATATTCCATAGTAGCTCCATATAGACAACGCCAAATCTTGTAAATTGAATTATTTGATGAAGTGCCTCCTTCAAAGTACAGCTGTCCCTTGATAGTCCTACGTTTAGTAATCCAACATGCTCACTAGTCCAACGCACCTTCTGTCAAGGTACCCATCCTCGTTATGTGTCTGCTTGCACAGAAGCATGTCACAACGTGAATCTCCCCACCCAATTCTTACACGATGACATACATTTCGTGTGTTTTCCGTGAGCAGTTCTGTTCGAACAGTTGGAGTAGGGAATATTGTAGGCTACTGCTAGCAAAACAATGCCAAATATGTAATCACTTTTGGTAATCCAACACCCCTTTGGTCCTATACATGTTGGATTATCAAGGGACAGCTGTACTAAGAAAAGAAAGAAAAACTGAACAAGAACCAAGATTAATTAAAGAACTTTATCATTAGACAAATATAAAGAGAAGACATCAAATTATAAAGTCATTGAGGTAGTATGATTCTAGAACAAAGTGTAATCTCTCTGTCCTGCAAAATAGATAGATAGAATTTTTATAATTATAATCTCCATTTTGTTTTTGATTTTGTTTATTAAATATTCTTTTGTGAGATCCGAAAGGCCCTGGGTCTAATTTGTTAGTTTTTATTAAATATGTTTAAATATAGACACGAAATATTACTTCGATTTGTGAAAAAAAAATATTGTTTTAGACGTGGGAAAAACCAGATAACAAATGTTATTTTCTTTCATCGAAGAGAACATCCTCTGTTTTTCCGTATCTGGTTAAAAATCTCGCTCAGATGGGAAATGGTTACCCCTCATTCATCCCCCTTTTCGTCCGTTCTCACGAAAGAGTTACTGGCCGAGGATTGGTCGAAATTCAGGAGATATAAGGAAAATCTAGTCCAAATTCGGGGAGTTCTTCGACAGATCTGAAGCATCTAAACTCCACGCAGTTTCCCTCCTGATGGCCAACGCCCATAAACGGAGTCCGAGAGACTAAGTCCCGAGTCTACACGTAAAAGTGATATTTTTATATTTTGTGCACGAATTGATCTCCTATATGAAAATAATATGAACTCTATCTACAACGTGTCCTTTACCTACAGTAACGAAGACGACGACAACGAAACAGGTCGTATGTTTAAAATAATTTTGTGAGCTCTCTCTCTCGAACGCGCATTAGCATAGAAAAAGTCGTAACCTCTAGCTTGTCGCTAAATGGTTGTAATCGAATTTTTGTATTCGTTTGTTTGAGATTTATTAAATTTACTCTTGTTTTATTTTATAAGAATGTCTCCTCAATTTATTCCGAATCAGATCGAAAACGCGTGTTAATCCGTGTATAATAAGTTTGATTAACTGGTGTCAAGGAATCCTGACGAACGTCTGAACTTCGCGGTTCAGATCATCTTTGTTTACGCTCTCCTATAAAAAAAAGGTTAGAGACCTGGTCTTACCGACTAGTGCCCGTAAGTGGCGTAGACTAAGACCTACGTCCTGGTAGATCTCACACCTGGTGTCAGGAGTGGGGTTCGAAACTACATAAAACCCCCTAATAGACTCTCACATGTGGTGTAGCAGGAGTGTGGTCTCGAGCTTAAGAAAATTCCCTAATACACTCTCACATCTGGTGTCACGGGAGTGAGTTTGGAATTTTAGTAATATAGTAATCGTAATAATATCTCACAAATAATATAATTGTATAATATAATCAGAGATCTGATTCGGAGGTGATAAGTCTGGAGAGATAAATTTTTAAGATAATCTTTAAATTAATAATAAGTTAACATAGAAATAAGTTAAAAATGGATAGAGATAGAGAAGAACCTCCGCGAGCTACATTAGCTGGTAATCCAATAACGTTAGGTGGACTGGGTGGAATGATTCCCCTCTTACCGGTCTTCTCAGGGGACGCAAAGGGTCCAAAGGTATCAGAATTTTTCGATACGTTAGCGGATGTGACTAGAGTAGCAGCATGGTCGAAGGCACAGATGCTAGCTGTAGCTAAATTAAAATTGACTGGCATTGCCCGGGAATTCGTGCGTAAGGATCGGCGAGTAAAGGACGTAGATGATTATGAGGAATTTAAGAAAATAATGTTAGAACGTTTTGAGAAGGTCCCTTACCCATATCGAATCCAGAAATTCTACGCGTGCGTCCAAGCCAGAGATGAGGACGTACAGACATTCGCCGTACGACTCCAGGCCTTAGCCGAGGAGGTTGAGATTGAACACGAAGGCGCGAACGAAGCCGAAATAGAAGTCATAAAACGAGTTAAAGAAAAGGAACTGGACGAGAGGTTGAAAGTCCAATTTATGAATGGTGTAGACCTCCGGATAAGAAAAAGGATTATGTCCAGAGAACCCGAGACCTTTGACCAAGCATTGAAAATAGCAATAAATGAGGAGAATATCGAGCTCCTCACTTCCCACCCTAGGGGTCTTTTAAAGGTAATAAAAGAA